TAAGCTCATAAATAAAAGAAACAATGTACCATTTCAATATTTTATTCATTTTTTTTTTGTTAAGGTTATAGCAATTATTAAATCATATAAATGGGTAGCAGGCGCCTCAAACTGTTAGACCCTGTTGTCTTCCTGATGTGTGTCAAATAATTAAAATGGAACTAATTGGCTGTGATCTTGGATAACCATTACTGTATGTAGCACTGAATGTGAGGGTCTTCAGAAAAATTGGTTGCAGAATTGTTTTCCCGCTAACATCTACTCATTCCAGAAAGCAAAACAGAGGAACCAATTAACTTAACATGCCTGTTTTTGGACTGGGGGAGGAGACCACAGAACCCAGAGAGATGAACATGAAAACTCCATCGAGAGACGGCCCAGCCCCCAATTTGGAGCCACAATCTTCTTGCTTCGACGCAGCAGATTTAACTGTGCCACACGGAGCATCCAGTGCGTTACATTGCCTGTTTGTACCCTTTCATGTTTCCCTCTTTTTCATTTCAACAACAATATTTTATTATATCTTTAAAAAATGTTTCCCTAGATTTACTTTAAGTGGGACAGACAGGATAGTCTTGCATTATAATATAATAGAAAAAAAGAAACTATTTGAACCCTCTTCACTTTACTTCACCCTAAGTATTTCCAGTATAGTGCTAACCCTAAAGTTAATTCACAACATATATTTTGGCCTTTGGTACCTCTTGTACCAGTACTAGTTTATATCTCAAAATGATAAATAGGCAACAAAAACAAATACATGTATACACACAAAAACACACTCTTTCAACAAGTGCAACTCACTGCCCTTTAGAATTCATCTATTTTTAGTCTACACCTGTGTACAACTGATTTAATCGCAGTGTGAACATTGAAATGTATTGTTCTACCAAGGCTTAGACAATTTGTTACAGAAGACACATCATCATAAGGATGAAAAACACAGGATTTACAAAGCTTTTACAAAGAGGAAGGAGAAGCTGTTCTCAGGAAAACCTGTTTTCCTCCACTAAACAAATCTGGCCTTTTAGGGTAGAATGGAAGAAAGGAAGCCAATATTGAAATAAAGCTGTTAGATATTCCATTTAAAGCCTGACCTATCCATGTAGAAAAGTCAGGAGACATCTGGAAAACAAAGGTACATTTCCATGAGGGAGGAGGTTCATCGTTCAGCGGGATAATGACCCTATAGCCAGAGCAATGCACTTGTCTCTGTTTGAAAACGACTCAGGAACATTACATCAAAATAAAACAGGCTAAGGTAAAGTTTATTTCCCAAAGCTGTGAAAGCAATCGTCCCCCTGCAGGCAGACACTAAACATCCCTGCAGCAAATCAAATAAAGGTCCAGCCTAGACTCATAGACCGTCTCAGTACAAACACTACATGCCACATTCCACATACATTTATTTACTTGTTTTTACATTTTGACGTTTTCTCTAAGGATGCTTGTTCTACATTCATCTTTAAATGGTTTTAACGTATGTATGTTTATTATATAAGCATTATGAGTTAAAAAATTGTATCAGGCTTACATCATAAAAATAATAAATGTAATAAATTAAAAGACTTGATTATTGAAAATATAATGTTTTAGATGAATGCATATCAATGTGCTATAATGGCTTAATCAAAATGCTGATCTAAATCTTAATGAGAGTCTGTGGCAAGACTTGAAAATTGCTCTTCATTAATGCTTTCCATTCAGTCTGACTAAACTGAAGCAATATTGTATTTAAGAATGTCTCTACCCAAAAGTACTTGAATCTATACTCGCAGGAAAAAGCGATTCTTAAAAATACTGAGGAAGGGAAGCTAAATACAAATGCATGTCACTCTTTCCAGCTTTCCACTTACATATATGTCTCAAATCTGAATACACAATTAGACACTGCTTTAAGTTGTTAAGTCACAGAATATCACCAAAACATGGGAGTTTGTGATTTTAATGTAACATAATTTTAAAAGATTAAGAGGGTATGACTAAAAGGAACCAGAGCTATAAACAGAAAAAGTGAATCAGAAATATAGAGAGGTTCTGATAGGTGTCTACTCCAGGGTGATTCAGCCTGTCAACACCCAGAAAACTGCCCATTCTCATGAAAACTATGATTCTGACTCAACTCTCCAAGAGCACAACATGACATTTTACAGTAAACTCTCTTCTAATGCAAAACCTCTACAAAAACACAATAAATTAATAATGAAAAAGAGAAAAAAATATATTGATAAATTTAAAAAGAAACTGATATAATGATGTTCTGTGACAACTTGTCTAATGCCGCCGCCCACTAGGATGCCTCAATGAAATTTAAACCTAATCCCTGGGATATAAGACTTTTATAAATGTGTACAAAGATGAACACAATTCATGTTCCATAAAAATCCATTTAAAGAAAGTTAGGCTTTGGAAAAATGAGAAAATCCAGAGATACATAGGACTCCGCCAAGGAGGAAAAAAAGACTTCTAGGGACTGCTGTGAACAAATAATCGGTAAAACGATGATCCCATAATCACATTAGTGATAAAAATCCCATTACCTTCTCATTATACATCCGCCTCTTTTCTTTCCTCAAGTGTCTGACAGAACAAGCATCAAAGATGATGAAAATTAAGAAGCCTTTTCCCCTTTAAGCTCCAAGCTCTATAAACCTCACCTAACCCATAACCTTTGTGTAACTTTCCAATACCCAGAATACAAGCACTGCACACAGCCTTTAAACCATCACTGTTCCTCCAAACATCCTTTAAGGACAAGATACTGAAATATCAATTATTTGGGTCCTCCAAGCATTAATGATAAAAGCATGCAAAAATGATGCATCGGAGATAAAAGGTCTTGAAGTGCTTGCTGAGGCTGGATGAGTGAGTTGTTTGTTTTCCTGAAACGGAGGCTTGTCTTGAACTATCACTAATTAACCGAGAAGAAAAATAGATCTAAATATAATCTAGTGGATAATGAACAGAAGAGGGGGAGATCAAGATGTCTTTGTCTTCGCTTATTATTTACTCCATAACTGAACACAGATACATTTTAAACTGACTTAAAGATGTAACAGAAAAGAAGTCCCTTTACTGGGCAGGCTTTTTGTCTAATTTTAGGCAAATGTTTTAATATATCCTTAGTGGACAAGAGAGCATTTACAACTGGCACACATCTCTTTATGCATCCAGTATGTGATTAGTCCTTATAACAACAGTTTGGAAAGGGAGAATATGACTCTAACTTTGCAGAGGGGGAAAAGCGTCACACAATAACTCCCCTAATCTGAGCAAAAATTAATTTTGAAAGCCTCTCTGTTGGAAAATCCTCTTTATCTGTGTTGGATGGAGGAGGGAAGGGAATACACTGAACTCTTTCTTATTCTTAAGATGCAGAAGTCTGTTCACTGGCGTTTGTAGTACTCCGGCAGCTCCACAGAGACACATGCAAATAAACTTAAGTCTCCAGAAGAGCAACAAGGGAGATGGAAACTAAACAGCAACTCACTGCAAAGTATTGAGCACAAATATGAGAAAGCTTAGCATTTTGATATTCAAGTGAAGTTAAAATACCAATGAGAGGACTGCTTTGTCATCTGCACCTTCACTTATTGTTAACATTGTATGACACACCAAACCGTATTAATTTGAATCATCTAACAATAACAGAAGGATATGCAATTAAATCCTAATCAAAACAGACATCCTCCCTTCTGACCTTGTAGAACAGGATTATTAATTGAACCTTGTATTGATTTTTTGCAAACAATAGTCTTCAAGGGTGCTAGTAAATCATCAATGTTCCTGTTAAGCTCCAAGAGCTGCAAGAGATTACATTTTAGAGATGTAGAACAATGCAGAAGAAATGCCTAGAGGTTTTTATAATAGACTGTCTGACTCCCAGCTTTAATATCCAGTTACATTGTAATAAATACATTGCTTATTGGTTAACTTTTTGGCTTCATTAGACATGCATAGAGAAGGTGCATCTCAATGAATTGCAAAAAAAAATATCAAGGGGAACATTAAGCCTTTCCCATTATGTCATTAAAGATATTAAGCCTTATATTTAAGCATATATTCATTACAATTTCAAATATGTAGTATTTAAATGCAAAATCTACTTAAATCTGAAAAGAGCACTTTTGACCATTGAACATTACTCCAGTAATGTTCCTCCTTAGCTCTGGTAAGATATGGTTTCTAGTTCAAAAGTTGCTGAAAAGAAGGACTTCAACAGCTGAACTCCACCACCTTGTGAGGCTTCCCAATCTCTTCAGTTGGCTTTACTTGTGGATGTCTTTCTAGCCACACTTTATCCTTCCAGTAAACTTTCCATTGCTATGTTGCATACAGTAGCCTCAAACGTCACTGTGAAGGGAAATAGCCACAGTCTGCTGGACAACTGTTGAGCCTGCACGCCACCATTTAGACTGTATGGTCCATAACTTGGCATTGCCATAATAATCCTGCATCAAAGGTTAATTCTATAACTTGAGGAATTGGCTTTTGAGTTTTTACAAGCTATAAACTGGAATAATCTAATAGTCTTAATACTTCAAGAATATCACCCTGTGCATGACTAGGGCTGCAAGTAATGATTATTGTACTAATTGATTAATCTGTTGAGTATTTTACCAATCAATCATCGGGCATCAAAACCTGCCTCTGAAAAAGATTTTACACAGATTATAAACCAAGTTAAGCTCAAACTATACCTGTTGAGGAGGTTAGGATAGAACATATTTTATGTGCAAAAGAAGTTTTTAATCTTTAATGCAACATTTTTATATACTTTTTACAATTTGGCATAATTACTGCTCTGAACTCTGCAGTAAATGTCATGTGTTAGAGCCTGTATACTCCAATTAATGTCTGATTACCAACTTAGATATTTTAATAATGGATTTATCACATTTTTTTTTTTCAGCCCAATGTGTAATTGCAAATACTTCCATGCAGAGCATTTAATGTCTACGTAAAAAGCCCAGAGAAAGTAACTTAGGCGCATAACTTACATTGCCGTAGTTGATGAAGCCGTGCTCCCTTGCGATGCGTTCAGCCTCCTCAGGGCCCCCATTGACCTGGACAGCCCAAGTGTTGGTGAAGATCTCGGCAGCATCAATCCACTTTAACTCGGCATTCAACAGGACAAGACCTGTCCATACAATCGGCAGGGCCACCTGGGCATCCATTAAAAGGAAAACTCTTCACTGGTGGGGTAGGGGGTCTATGTGTCGGTCTGATGCTGCTTCCCAGGCAGAGTAGGGCTGCCCTACCTTACAGCAGCAAAGTAGAGCAGTGGCCTAGAGATGAGAGGACAGAGCAAGCTGTAAACAAAAACATGGCCTTCCAAACTGGGTTATCCTTGGGCAGCAATGAAAGCCCTGAGATAATAGTCAGGCCCAAACAAAGAATAAATGGGTATCAGCCACACATCTGATTCAAATTACAAAGCTTGTGTCTGCTGTCCGGCTCTGAGAAAGAAAGACTTTAATAAATATGTAAAACATTAATATTACATCAATACAGACAGATAATCCGCCAAAACCGGAAAAAAATATTTCTCTATTTCTCCATAAGTCTGAGAAACATAAAATGATAATGTATGATAATCAAGTATGGTAAGTGTCTTGCTGCGATACTGCAGGAGCACAATCCAAACTCTTAGTGCTAATAGCAAAAGGAGTACAAAGGGGAGAATCTATATTTAAATAATTAGTCACACAGTGGTCTTCACTTCTGAACATTCTGGAAAGAAAATTCAACCAGTTGCTTATTATACATGAAAAGATCATGAACAGTGAAATAAAATGTATAATGAAAAAAAAAAACTTATTTGAGTTGAAGTTCAAACAAAAAAGATGTTCAGCTTTGACTGCTCTGCTGGTCTTTGATTTGCAGCTCTCTGACTGAGATAAAAGGAGCCTTTACAAATAAGGCTTTGGGGTAAGTCGGATAACTTCATGTACCAAAAGACAGTGTGGATATCTGCTAAGCAAAGCAGCGCCATCCTTTTTTCTTTTTTTTTTAAACACACATGGTAAAAAAACTGGTCAGGTTTCAGATTACGGTACTACACATAGACATATTAGAGATGCTTCATTTAGTTCTAAAAAACCCAGGATTGCACAACAAGCACATAACTGTTTTATTACAGGTACCTAGAAAATATACTTTTCAACCTCTAATGGTTTCCCCAAACAGATGTATAAAAACTCCAACTTCAGCATACTGATTTAGCAAGGGTAAGAAAACTGAGTAAAAAAAAACAACAAATAAAACATTTTCATCAAAAACTCTGATTATATTAGTACTGGACAGACAATTCTTAAAAAAATAAATGCAACTTCGGCATTTCAGTGTATACCTTTACATTTTTAGTTTGGTTTTCTGTGATTTTTTTTAATAACATGACCTTATTGATTCGAAAAAGATGAGAAATTACCCATATTTGTGTTGGGCTCCGTGAGTCAGACAATAGCTAATCAACTTTTGATACTTTTCTATAGACCAAGCAATTACTTGTCATTTTCATAAACTATGCAATATAAAAGCACAGTGGTATTTTGCTTCAAAAATAAGTGAGGTAAAAAAAAAAATCTCTCTATTCATGACAATACGTAGAGTTAGTCAGAATGCTACATAAGGCTCATGACCTAAATGATTAATTAATCATAAGGCTTTTAACATATCTTTATAAAGGGTTGCTAAAGGTGTGGAAGGTTCCACATAAGCCTCTACGTCGACTATCATTAATCTAAAATAATCAGATAATACTCCACAAATAATTATCTACTTGCATAGATATGCTGCTGCATATCCCCCTGAAAGCACTTCGTCTTCTTTTTTATCCTCAGCGGCATGGGTTTGCTTGGTGCTCTGCTGTAATGCAGTAAAAGGCTTACTATATTTGATTACCATATAGTACACTATAATTTGTCTGAAACTAAAATAAATAAAATAAAATAGTTAAATATGTTGGAATTTTGTTGGATCTTTCAGCACACGTAGTGTGTATAAAAAGTACAACTTAGCACATTGATTTGTGTTCACTTATATCATGTGTTCTACAAAAAAAATAAAAAAATATCTTGAACTTTTACTTTGCATCTCTGCACATCACACAAAGTCAGCAAAAAAATAAAAAAAATAATTAAAATTAAGATAGAGCCAGATGGCTGTTGCAAGGAAATAGTGAATTTTGTACAGATATATTTGGTGAAAGACAATGGAAAACAAAAACAACCCTTTTTTTCCCATTTTTTTTCTCCATCTTTTCTCTGAGTGGAACAATATGAACTTACTAAACTGAAAAATCTTATCTGCCTCAGTAATGAGTTTATAGCAATTTTCATGACAGTTGGCAAACTTTAGATTTGAGACAGCTATACCTGTGGCAAAAAGCATTGTGTGTTTGCCTTTGCTGAGAGGGGGAAAGGTAGCTGATGTATTTACAACAAACCAATTAGCTAAAATTTACCTAAGAGTAAGAGGAAGTTAAAGTTGTAATAGACAAACACCATTACTAATCAGCGCACAAAATAATGGCTCTTACAGTGGAAAAATATCCGTCCGTCTGTCCAAGATTGGGTCGGGTGGGTAACAGGCCCAGACGTCCTTTCATCTACCAACATTCTCTAATTCATTCTCATGGATCAAGAGATTTTCCCAGGCCAGGAAGTTTAGGAAAACCTCAAGGGGAGGTGGAAAGGTGGGCTCCAGATAATTCAGATCTCCTATTCTTTTGGCTCAGTAGATGATCCAGTAAACTAAAGTTTTCCCTAAGTTATCTGTTCACCATAACAGGGCAATACTGTTCCTGCAGATGAGGCAGCAATCTGTCTCTCCATCTTGCACTCCATCCTAACACACATGAACAATACATCAGTACGCAAACATCTCTTTAGACAAGAGACTGACCATCTAAGCAGGAGGGAACAGTCCACTCTTTTAAAGTTGAGAACCATGGCTTTAGACATAGACCGTCTGAATTTCTTCAGCTGTTGCAGTGCCTACTGATGGTCAATGTAAAAGAAGGCAACAGAACCCCATCCTCTGCAAAAAAGAAACAATTTACCCTCCTTTTCACAAACAGACTTTGATTTTAAGTCCATGAAACAAACAGGATGAGAAACAAGGGGCAGACCAACCCACACTGAAAAGAAGCAGTATCTCACGAGATGCAGACAAAGCTTTTGCTTTCAGTGTAAAAAGCCCAGATTGCTCTTAAAAGCAGTCCCATGCTCTCACAGCACCATCTACAGAGTGACACTGTAGGCTTTTCCAAATCCTCAAACACATCTAGAACCAGAAAACCAAACACTAACGACCCCCTCAGCAACTGTGAAATGGAAAATTCCATTTGGTTGTAGGTATAACATTGTTCTTCCTGAATCTGTTGGTGTCTCCTTTAAAATAGCTTGAAATAAACTTTACCAAGAAGGACAGGAATTGTTTGTCTGTCAGTACAGCACTGATTATTCACCAGTCTGTCAACAATGACAGTCAAACAATGTCCAGCGCCTTCTGCTGATGAGATTTTAAACTACCTAATGGTCTCAACCTATGATAAGCACCACAAAAGATGATTGTATTTTTTGGTACTATGTAGGGTTGTCAAAAGTATCGATACTCAAAAAAGTATCGATACTGAAATGTTGTATCCGGATACAATACTCATTTTCAAAAGTATCGATACAGTGCTACCACCAGTGGCACCTAAACAGTCCTTCATCTAAAGTGAAGAATAGAGGAAAATGCACTTTCTGAACACTGTGTGATTGAATAATTCTGTGCATTTTTCAGTTTCAGACTTTTTTTATAACAGGTGCAGCTGCTGAGAATTATTTTTGTTTCTTAACCGGTTTGGCCAGTGTCATTACTATGTGTGCAAAGCATAGCCAAGGAAGGAAAACTTAATTTTAATTTTGTAAGTTTTTATCAAGCTTGCTTAATATAGTGCACAGCATATAACCTCAAAATATTGTTCTTATTGTTTATTGTATTTATTTATTTTTATTATTAATGAAAATTTCTGTTGAATTTTGGAGTCTTTGTTTTTATCCTTGTGGTATCGAAAATGGTATCGAATATCGAATATTTTCCTTAGTATCGGTATTGAGGTAAAAAGTTTAGTATCGTGACAACCCTAGTACTATGTTGACATTGCACAACTTAAGGTAGCTTATTTTAGTTCTATTTTTTGGTTCTTTGTCTAGAGTCATGTTTTTTGATATTCTGATAATTTGAGTTGGAACATATTTGGACAGTGTATTTTTTTATATTCTGGCCGATGTATATCGGATATCGAACAATAAGTGATATTGGCCTATAAATCGGATATCGCTTTTTAAAAAACCAAAATATTGATATTGGTATCAGAAATCAAAATCCCATGTCTGTAAGGCTCTAATTAAATCAAGTGATAGTTTTAGAAAATTTTCCATTGGGCTTTCCTGATAGTGGAATTGCATGGGGATGAGGCTTAGTTTTCACCTAAACCATCAAGTCAGATTAGCATCTGAGAAATTTGAACACATCAGAATCTGTGATGTGAAATCTTGTGACAGAGATATCGCCATGTAGTGGAGCGATTAGTCTGCAAAGCATATTTGGTAGCTGGTACCCTCATAGCTAAAAGTGTGTACGTTTGCATTGCAGAATGTTGCCTCGTAACAAGATGAAAAGTGTAAATCTATTAACCTGCTATGCTATAGCGTATATATTAATATTCGTTTCTCTCATTTTCCAAGACACACCAGTTTCCGGAGAGTTTCGTGCATCTACAGTGTTCAAAGACGAGTAAGTCACAGACTGCATCCATGGCTGTAAAGATACATTTGGAAGTGGTTGTGATTTAAGTGCATCAGGAGAGGTGCTGGAAACGTAACTAGAGGCTGTCACTCTTCACGTGGAGCAATTCCTCTGAGCTCATTAGATAGTGTGGTGGCGCCACACACAAACAGGGGTCTGCCGACACCAAACAGAGGGAGAAATACATGGAAGGAGAGGAAAACAGGAATCTTTCTCGTCATTTTGCAAGTTGGAAATATAACGAGCAAATTTAAAAATGCAACGCTCAAAATGCAATCTCTCAAAACACTGTCATGCGGGGAGGTAACAAGAGGCTGCTTACTGTTACAATATACACTCACCGGCCACTTTATTAGGTACACCTGTCCAACTGCTCGTTAAAACTTAATTTCTAAGCAGCCAATCACATGGCGGCAACTCAGTGCATTTAGGCATGTAGACATGGTCAAGACAATCTCCTGCAGCTCAAACCGAGCATCAGTATGGGGAA